ACCTGGTCCTCTAGTCTTGGAGAGGACTAGTTGACGACTAAGGGACCAGCCGCTCCCACAAGGCATACCCCGCTGTACCCGGGATCCTCCTTGAGGAGCGAAGCCATGTCCACAACAGGAAGCCTTTCCCAGAAACCATGCTGCTCTGAGATGCAGCCCCCCGGAGATGGCGGGAGGGAGGGAGGCAGCTGGGACGGGGCGGGGCAGGGGGCAGCTGTGAGCCCCCGCCACAAAGCTCCCAAGGGACAATGGCATTGCCCACCAGGCCGTGCCCTCCGTGAGGAAGAGTGTTTCTTCACCAAAAAAAGAGCCACACAAAAGAAGGAAGCTGGACCTCGGATTCCCTCGAGGTACAACAATTAATTCAAGGTGGACCAATGAACTAAAGGTAGAAGCTATAATGATGAACTCTTAGAAGAAAATATGACCTTGGATTTGGCAGCGGGTTCTTAGATATAATACCAAAGGAAAAAAGATAAATTGGACTTCATCACAAACAAAACACTGCTGGGACTTCCCTGGGGGTCCAGTGGTTAAGACTCCAGGCTTCCAATGCAGGGGTCATGGGTTCAAACCCTGGTCAGGGAACTGAGATCCCTCATGCTGCAGGGGGAGGCCAAAGAAACCAAAAACAAACAGAACAACAAAATACTGTTGTGCACCAAAGGTCCCTATCAAGAAAGGGGAAAAGATACATCACAGAATGGGAGACAATGTTTGCAAATCACAGGTCTGATAAGGGCCTGGTATGCAGAACAGGCGAAGAACTTCTACAACTGAACAGAAGACAACCCAGCTTGGAAGTGGGCGAGGGACTTGAACAGACACTCCTCCAAAGACGATACACAAATGACCAAAAAAGCACGTGAAAAGATGCTCAACATCTGTTAGACATTAAGGAAATGCAAATCAAAACCAGGGTGAGCTACCACAAGCAGGGAATGGCCACCCACTCCAGTATCCTTGCCTGGAGAATCCCACGGACAGAGGAGCCTACAGAGTCCTCTGCAGACTATGGCTATAGTCCATAGGGTTGCAAAGAGTCGGACATGACTGAGCGACTGACATACACATCACAGCCACTACCACGGCTGTAAAAACCAAAAGCCAGGGACTTCCCTGGTGGCCCTGTAGCTGGAATTCCATGCTCCCCATACAGGGGGCATGGGTTTGATCCCTGGTTGGGGAACTGGATGCCGCAGGCTAGAGATCATGCATGCCACAATGAAAAGATCCCGCATGCCGCAACTGAGACCCGGTGCAGCCAAATATACGTATAAAAAGTCAGAAAATAAAAGTGTTGGCAAAGACACGGTGCATCTGGAGCCTTTTTGAGCTGCTGGTGGGGATGTAAAATGGTGTTGCTGTGGAACACAATCTGGTGGTCCCTCACAAAAAGAATTGAAACATAATGATCACATGGCCCAGCAAGTCCAGTCCTGAGTATATAACCAAAAGAATTGAAAAGAGGTGTTCAAACAAATAACCTATCCATGAACGTTCATTGCTCTACTAGTCACAATAGCCCAAGATCAGAAACAACTCAAATATCTACCAACTGTAGTCTACCCATATAAGGAATACCATTCAGCCACAAAAAAGAAATCTTCCCTGGTCGCTCAGAGGGTAAAGAGTCTGCCTGCAATGCAGGAGACCTGGGTTCAACCCCCAGGTCAGGAAGATCCTCTGGAGAAAGAAATGGCAACCCACTCCAGTATTCTTGCCTGGAGAATCCCATGGACAGAGGAGGCTGGCGGGTCACAGTCCCTGAGGTCGCAAAGAGTCGGACACGACTGGGCCACCAACGCACAGAAAGAAATGAAGCGCTGATTCATGCTACGGTGAGAATGAACCCCAAAAACATAACGTAAGATAAAGTAAGCCAGACACGAGAGGTCACAGACTGTATGATTCTCTTTATATGAAATATCCAGAACAGGTAAATCCATGGGGACAGGAAGCAGAGTGGTAACTCCCAGGCAAAGCGGGGAGATGGGAGTGACAGTTTGAGAGGCGGATGAAAGATTTTGGAATTTGACAGAGTTGGTGGCTGGACAACCTCTAATGAACACTACTGAGTTACACATCTAAAAAGCAATCATTTTAGGTTAAGGGGATATCACCTCCATTAAAAAAACCCCAAGCACTCCAGCCACTTCAACTGACCCAGCTCCAAGTGGACTGTTGCCCTGACCCACACTTCCTAGGCAACAGGACCCCACTCTGGACTCCTTGGCAAGGCCCCCTCACCTCCACCTTCAGTCTCCCTACCCTGGTCATTCATGGGTCTATCCGCCTGGCTGGGTTCTCTTTTGATAGATTTGCTTGCTGAAAACTTTTAAAAGAAAGTTAAAGAAAAACACATCTAATGGAATAAACCATAAATAGATTCATTTAGGGGGACAAGTGTTAAAGACGGGGAAACTACAAGATCTCTGCCGGCCCCGGGCTAAGCTGTAAGCAGTCTTGCTACTGGTCTGGACAGAGTGACACCCAGCACCAGGCAGCTAAAAATCACCCATTTGTTTGGTATTTACAAAAGCAAAAGAGAACCACCAAGCAGGCTTGCAGTGAGGAGTCAGAGCTGGGCCTCAGCCCCCGCACCTCCGAGTTTCAAAGCACCTTCTGGCTTTGTCCTCTGGTTCCGCTCGTGGGCGGCCACGAAGTTCAGCAAGTCGATGGCAGTGACGACCCCGAACACCATCTGTCTCTTACTGGACTCCCCGTGGCAGCGGTCTGAGGAGGGACAAGGCCAAAGGTTCAGAGGGGCCTCTGCCCAGAGCAGAGCTGGGGCCACTGAGCCCATCCCCAGGCATGGGCAGGTGGGCCAGCCCTGAGGCTGCCCCGTGTCCATGGGCACCTGTGTGTCTGACCACAAGTGCCCTCTCCTCCCAAGAGTATCCATGCAGGTGAGGCTGCAGAGAGCAGGGCCTGACCCCTCTGAGTCACACCCATGGGGGGAAGCCTGAGGGTCAAAGTCAATGGGAGCAGCTGGTGCCCAAGGTCTGAGTCTTGGCCTGAAATCCCAGTCCCACTCACACCCCCTACCACTACCAGCTCGCATCTCTGGCTTACAATTCTGTGCTCAAACCCACGCCTTTCTCTCAGGCTTAGAATGAACTCGGGCCCCCTGCCCTGCAGCCCAAGGGTAAAAAGGGTGGCTGAGATGGTTAATTCAACATTTCAACCCAACTGGGCCACAGAGTGCCCCCCTATATTGGGTCGAACGTCATTCTGGGTATCTTTGGATGTGAACAACTCTTGACTGGATGGACCCAGTAAAGCAAATTGCCCTGGCCAGTGTGGGTGGGCCTTGTCCAATTAGTTGAAGGCCCAAATAGAACAGAAGAACTGACCCTCCATGAGTAGGAGGAAAGAGTCCTGCCTTTGGGCTTGGGAACATTGGATCTTGGGGTCTCAGGCCTGCCCACTCACCCTGCAGGTCTTCTTGGGGCATGCCAGCCTGTAAGCCGATTCCTTACAGGGAATCTCTATATGCACATGTCCTGCTGGTTCTCTTTCTCGGGAGAATGCTGACTGACAGCAGTGGAGAAGCCCACGGAGGGTGGGGCAGAGCTGAGCAGTGGGTGGGAAATGACCGGGGTGCATCCCATTCCACCAGCTCCCTCCTCGGTCTGTCCCTGACAACCTTGAGGGCAGAGGTCGACAGGGTGGGGGCGGGGAGGCACGGAGGTGCCAGCTTGGAGCACCTCAGAAAAAAGCTCAGGGGCCCAGGAGAGACCAGGGGCTTTAGGCAAAGGGGCAGCTTCAGAGGGGCACTGAACCCCCAGGGGGCGGCGGTCAGAGTGGCCTCCAGGCCCCCTGGGGGCACCGTCCAACACCAGGTCTTTAAACTTTCTGCAAAGGGCTGCTGGGTGTCTGTTGCGACCACGCAGCTCTGCCGACACAGCACAAACGCATCTGTGGCTGTGCTTCCAGGTAGGGCTGCGTTCACGGAAACTACTCACAGACCCTGACACTGGATCCCTGGTCAGGGTGCGCGGGTGTTCAAACACGAGGATACGGTCAACATAGAGGAGGACCCTCCCAGCTGGGCTCAGGGTCCGGGGCTGGATGCCCTCCCCCTGCGCTTGAAGGCTGCGATACTGGCCACAGCGCCACTTCCGAGCTCCAGGGGCGGGCGGGGCGGACATACCTGCCGGCCCCCCCACCTCTCCCGACAAGGCCAGGTTCTGCGCTGTGGAGCCAAGGATGGGAGAGGGGTTAGAGCTGGCGTCCAGGCTCTTGGACCAACCCTCAGTGGGAAAGTGGGTGGGCTCCAAGGCCCCCACCCACTTCTTGGGATTTCTACAACCTTGTTGTAGCTTAGAACCTGAAGGACAGCACCAGCCTCTGGAGAGGCAGCAAGGAGGCCTGGGTTATAAAGTCTCCTAGCTCATTGGTAGCCAGCACCCAGACCTGGCCCACAGCGGGGTCCCTCTGGGATCTACATCCAAGGCAGGAAAGCTCATGTGTCGGAGGCTCGGCAGCCAGCGTCCCACAGAGCTCCTGCCCCTGCCTCCCTCCCCCAGCCCCCAGGGGACCCAGCTTACACTGGATCTGCTCATGGACCACCAGGGCGAAGTGGTCCATCTCCAGGATGTGCGAGAGCTTGCCGAGTGGGTCCGTCAGGAGGATCTGGAAGAGAAGCCATGGTCAGCGCTCGCCGGTTGGAGCCCAAGGAAAGGAGCAGCAGAGAGGCTGGCGTCCCCACAGGGCTTCTTCTGGAACCTCCTGCTGACCCAAGAGACTGAACACGACTCGACACTCGTAAAAAAACAGCTGGATGAACTGGAAGAATTGATGCTTTTGAACTGTAGTGCTGGAAGATACTGTTGAGAGTCCCTTGGACAATAAGGAGATCAAACCTGTCAATCCAGATCAAACCAGTCAATCCTAGAGAAAGTCAAGCCTGAATATTCATTGGAAGGACTGATGCTGAAACTGAAGCTCTAATACTTTGGCCACCTGATGCAAAGAACTGATTCACTGGAAAAGACCCCCAGGAAAGATTGAAGGCAGGAGGAGAAGGGGACGACAGAGGATGAGATGGCTGGATGGCATCAATGGACGTGAGTTTGAGCAAGCTTTGGGAGTTGGTGATTGACAGGGAAGCCTGGCGTGCTGCAGTCCATGGGGACGCAAAGAGTCGGACATGACTGGGCAACTGAAGAACAGAACTGCAGAACCCAACGACTGGACCCTCAGTGAACTAGGGGCTTCAATTATGAACAATGCAGTATCCACCGCCCATTGGCACGAATCCCACATCAGGACAAGACGTAGTGCTGCAGGGGACAGGGAGGGGAAGGCAGCATGGGGCCCTCTGCTCTATCTGCTCGACAGACAACGGTGAGAGCCTCCAAGAGAAAGAAGGAAGCACACTTAGGGTCCATTTTTCAACCCCCAAGGTGACCTCCAAAGCAGTGAGCCCCCGGGAAACCCCACTGGGTATGCTTTCTAGTTTGACTCCAGTAACAGAGGCAGGTTCCCTGGGAGAAGATGCAAGCTCCAGGGCGGGAGGAAATAGGCCAGGAGGCCAGTGAGGAGGGCCGGGCCCACCTGCCCGCTGGGTTTGCGTGCATGCTGAGGGGCACGCAACACAGCCGTGCTGGGCTGCAGAAGCAACTTCCCCAATGCTTGTCTCCACGAGGTCAGACGCTGGACGGCGTCAGATCACGGGGGTCAAGACTCCTCCTCCCCTCTGGGAGAACCGGGTTGTCAGGGGAGCCAGAGCTCCATGGGGACCTCTTCGCGTTGCTCAGTGATGGCAGCCAGCCCCCAGAGGTGGCGGTGGTGAGAAGGGGCAGCCCTGGGCAGGGAAGGTGTGCCCAGGAGACGGGACCTGCCTGGGTTTCCACAGTGCTGCATTCTTCTTGGGACACTGTCTGGACAGGGATGGGGATGCGTGGGGCCACTGAAGGACCTCCTGAATCTGCCTGCACCCACCTTAGTGGCCACCTTAGTGGCAAGGCACCGAGACCCTCGAGGATCTGAGTGGCCCTGGAGCCCAAGGCACCGGGACTCAGCCACCCCCTGGAGGAAGGGTGTGGCTGCAGGCCAGCCTGGGACACTAAGGGAGGGGGACTTCAGAGGCTCAGCTCTTCCCTGAGGGAGGGGAGGAGCATGCACACAGCAAAGAATCAACAGGAAAGTCCAGAGACAACGGAACTGGAATCAGGTATGGAAGGGTGGACGGTGTGCAGGCCACACCTTGGAGGGACCTTGAAACACTCTTCTGCGTAAAAGCAGCCAGACAAGGGCACACACATTGGAGCTGTGTGCACATGAGCCCAGAAAGGGCACAAATGGGAGGGCTGTGTGCACACACGAACTCAGGGAGGGCACACACGGGGCTGTGTGCACACGAGCCCGCAGAGGGCACACACGGGGCTGTGTGCACACATGAGCCTGGGGAGCGTGCACCATCTGTGGGACAGGGTGCACACCAGCGGGCCGGGAGGGGAGGGGCGAGGAAGCCCTCAGGTGTGGACGTGGGTGAGACCTCGCCGATGCTGGCCTCTCCCCACCTGGGGCTTCTCACTTTGTGAAGCCACGGCAAATCCTCAGATTTATGGATCTGATGAGGTGAGCGTCAGGGACCCTGCACCCTCGAGATGGACTCCCCGCCCCACCTTCCAGGACAGAGCTGGTCTCTGCACCGCCTGCTTGGGTCATGCGGGGCGCGTACCTGTTTGAACTGCTTGTAGATGACTTTGCAGACCTGGTCCGACGGCTGAACCTTCCCTGCGAGCAGTGACGACAGCATGTTCCCCAGGGTCACCATTCCTAGGATCACCCTGGGGAAGTGGACACAGGGCAGCAGTCAGCGCTGGCGCCTCCCCTACAATATGGCAGAACTCAGCACAGCCGCCCTCAGGGCCAAACCCGGACTTCTCTTGGAATCAACCACTATCTGCCCTGGTGGCTCGGATGCTAAAGAATCCGCCTGCCATGTGGGAGACCCGGGTTCAATCCTTGGGTCGGGAAGATCCCCTGGAGAAGGAAATCACAACCCACTCCAGTGTTCTTGCCTGGAGAACCCCATGGACAGAGAAGACTGGCAGGCTGCAGTCCATGGGGTCGCAAAGAGCTGGACATGACTGAGTGACTCACATACTAACATTATCTGCCCGGGGCCTCTGTGTGGCACAGCGGTGACCCGACACCCTGCCCTTGGAGCTGACTGTCCAGTGCGGGCAGACAGCAAACCAGTGGGTGAATCCTTTGGGCATTGCCATTCTGACGAGTGTCAAGGGTCACCAACTGGCCCGCGTCCTGGGATGTGGGCCTTTTGGTGCTAGAATTGGGACAGTCCTGGGAGAGTCAGACGGGGGACCGTCACCACTGCGTGTCCGCCGTGGTCTTCCAGGCAGGGACGTGCTCCCGTGCGCACACTGGGCACAGGCGGGTGGGAAGGGTTAATACGAGCGGCCCCCACCCCGGCCAGGGCTCAGGGGCCAGCTGTCCAACGCTCGGAGCATCTGTATGAAAAGTGCCCAAGGTCAGCTGGCCAGCTGTGGGGCCTGCTGGGCCGCCCTGCCCAGCAGCAAGGGCGCGGAGCAGAGCGGCACACACACAGGGCCGGTAGGGCAGAGCGCTGGATGGAGGCTGAGACTGACCCCGACTCGTCCACCACGGGCGCCTGGTCGAAGCCCTTCTCCCGGAGGATCTCGATGGTGTGCTCACAGGTGACAGTGGGCAGCACGGTCAGTGGGGCTGAGAGGCTCAGCTCCTGAACCTGGAGATGCCACCACCTGAGGGAAGAGGGCGGGCCAGGGAGTCCGTGAACTGAGGGGCGGGTGAGGGGAGCCCGCGGGGGGCGTCCAGCCAGATAGGGGGCTGCACACGTGCTGTTGGGGACCAGGCACTTGAGTCCTGAGCCCCACCTGGGGGGGTCTCTGCCCAGAGCTGTCCTCACCATGGTTTCTTCACCGAGATCTCCTCCTCCTTCATGAAGCCCTTCTGCAGCATCCACTTGTCGCTCAGGAACTTGGACCTACAGCATCAGAAGCCACAGGGCTGGGCGGAGGGTCTCAATACCACCCCTACCCCCAAAGAGGGCAGAGGGGCTCAAAGAAAGCCCAGACCCCATCCTCCCCAGACCCCACAGTCCAGCAGAGACCCCAAGGGGCTGGCTGGAGGCTCCATGAAGAGATCTGAGGGCTAGATGCCAGAAAGACTTCCTAGGGAATGGTGGTCGGTGTGGGTATCTGGCCAACCAGACCTGAATAAGCCCAGAGCACAGTAGAAGGCTCTGTGATGGGCTGGGACCTGGGACCCGGGACCCTTCGCTGCAATGCCTGCACCTGTACAAACATCTCTTCCAACAACAGATACAAGGAAACAAGAAGGGACTAGAAGTAACCATGTGCATGTGCGGGATGGGACAAATTGTGTACAAGATACTAAAAGACGCAAAACCCGACTGCCACTTCTGAGGTGTCAGGAGCAAAGGCAGGGCCTTGCTCATGCCCCCTGCACACACCACCACCCAGCGGTGGACAAACCACCCAGGCCACCCTCTGGCCCGACCCCATGTAAGGACCCAGCTCGCCATCCCCCACACTCAGGGAGCAAGTCAGGGACGTGTTATTAATATTTGCTTTTGCTCCCACTGCTGCAGCACAGGTCCCGGTAAAGCCCTGCCTGAACTTCCTGTCTGGCCTCAGATCCATTTCTACTGATCAAAGCGTCTAAGACCCCGGTCAGTAACAGTTCTGTCCCAAATCTCGTGTCATCACAGCCCCTCAGGGCTTCTGGCAGGGGGAGCCTGTCCCACCAGGGGTCGGAGGACACCAGGCCAGGCTTCAGGGGCTGCCAGAAACCTGCCCCAAAAGGCAGATGAGGGCCAACAAAGTAGGGTGCAGAGAGGCCCCCCAGGCCCAGCCCAGACATCTGTGCCCAAGGACACGATCACTCACTCACTCCAGCCATCTCTCTCTCTCACACACACACACAGGCACACGTGTGTGCCCACACAGCAGGCCAGCCAAGCACATGGGGAGATGGACACTCTCATGCACTATGTAGTGTGGGTGGGTAGAAAGGCTCAGGGCAACTCGGCAGTGGACACCCAGAGGTGACTCACCCCCAGCTGGAGTCCTAATTACGGATGCCCCCTGGGGGAAGCTGAGCTCACTCGAGGTGTGTAACCCATCACTCTTGGGTCAGGGAGGACACCAGAGGGTACATGCATCCATGGGGGAGGGCATTAGCCCCATGTGACCTCCCGCCCACACTCCAACCTTGGCGCTTTCAGCCAGTGGCCCGAGGCAGGGCCATGAGCCCAGAGGAGGCGGGGAGCTCCAGGTGCACACATGGCAGGTGCATAGACACTCAGAACCTCTGGACTGGAAGGGGCCTCGGGGGGCACTGACCCCAGCCTGGGTTCCCCCAGTTCAGGGCCAGACGGTGAGTGAGCAATGGATCCAGTGGGTGGGGGTGGGGAGCTGCTCTCAGGGCGGCCGCATCTTCATCCTCATCCTCCTTGGCTGAAGGGAGGCCTCGAGAGCTCGAAGGAGTGAGGGGGCACACAGGGTCCCTTCCCTAGGGAGTCCCTCCAGGCCCCCCGGTGCTGCCACGATGAACGCGCAGAGTGCAAAGACTTCCAAAGGCATCTAGGAGACCCAAGCTGGGGACAAGCCGGCTGAGAACGCGTGAGTTCCAGGGACGCGGAGAGGGGCCGCAGACCCCAGGCTCCCTGGCCCCCGCCGTCAGATCTGGGGGGAATGGCCAGGAGCAGAGACAGCTCAGGCGCTGGAGGCCGGCGGGGAACGGACGCCTCACATGTAGTTCCGCACCGAGTCCGGCAGGATCACCACGCAGCGCTGGCCTTCCTGCAGCTCCCGGGCGGCCTTCACGGCCACGGACATGGCGCTGCCGGAGCTGCCACCTGCCGAGAGGGCGGGAGGGGTCAGACCCGCTGCGGGGGAGCTGTGTGTGCACCCAAGCATGGGCACGCCCACACTTGCTCTGGAGAGATTGTTGGTGGAGGAGCTGGGCGTGGGGTGCTGGGGAACCCCACTTTTCACTGTCCGTCCACACCTTGCTCCGTCTCCCATCTGCTCTGCACTGCACCACCAGAGCCTTCCTCTGGAGAGATCGTTGGTGGAGGAGCTGGGCGTGGGGTGCTGGGGAACCCCACTTTTCAGTGTCCGTCCACACCTTGCTCCGTCTCCCATCTGCTCCGCACTGCACCACCAGAGCCTTCCACAGAACTCAGAGCCCTGGGGTGCAGGTGGCCGGGTGGCCAGAGCGAGGGTGTCCCTCACACGCTGGATGGAAGCCAGCAGGGCGGAGCGCAGTGTCCACTCACCGCACAGCAGCCCCTCCTGAGCGATCAGCATGCGGGCGAAGGCGAAGGCCTCCTCGTCGTTGCTCTTGAACCACTTGTCCACCACCTGCGGGAAGCCGAGGGCAGCGGTCAGCACTCGGCAGTCGGGTGGGGGAGTGGGGGTGGGTGTGGGACCCACGGCCCAGTTTGCAGTCTCGCAGATGACAATGGTCCAGGTGGCCGTGACCTTCAGGGAGGTGGCCCAGCATCTGTCTGGGATCCAACACTCACTCTGCAGACCTAGATGGTTCCCCCTGCCCCTGCCCAAGGGTCTGGCACAGTGTGCCCATGGTGCCTAAGCCGCCCGCCAGCACTGCACCATGGCCTCACTCTAGTCTAGGTCTCTCTGCCTGAAGCTTCCTTGAGGCCCTTAAAAGGAGCCTTCTCTGTGCTCCTCACGTCTCCCTCCTTGGCCGCTCACCTGCCCCAGCCGCTCTGCAGGGAGGTCTGTGTAAAGACAGGACGTGCCGCACCCCCACCCACGGCCTCTGTCCACGGCAGGAGCTCACTGATCACAGTACCGCGAGTCACCATGTGAGGACGCCTGGGACGGCACCTCGTCTACCGCCCTCTACACAGCTCGGAACTCACTTCTCTGCTCCCGCTGGGCCGGCCACCTGTGCCCAGCCGGACAAGGCTGAGGCTGGCCCCGTCACTGCCGCCCTGCCTACCGTGCGGTCCAGCACTGTGGGGATGAAGTCGTAGCCGATCCCTTCCACCTCATAGGTCGTCTGCTCCGTCTGGTTCAGCTCCTCGGGCTCTGCGAGGATGGAGCCCTCAGGATCCACGCCAATGATCTGCGGAGTGGGCGTCCTTAGGGCTCCAGTCTCATGTGCCCAGCTGGCATCGGGGTGCAGCCCCACTCCCAGGCCTCAAGACTCAAAACCCAGAAACCCAAGCCCAGGCGCTGGGAGATCACACGTTGAACGTCCAGCTGGGGGTACTGGGGGTGGGGGCAGTGGGAGGCTGGGGGAAGTGGATTTCCGGGAAGCTCCTCCCGTGCAGGGCACCTGGGACAGCCCTGGAGAGACGTCAATGGACAGTGGGAGCCTGGGGTGAGGGGCAGTGCTGGGATGACCTCTCCTGGACATCAGAGAAACGGGCAGCAAGAGAGGATGCGTGGGCACCACCAGTGGGGCCTTTCTGAGCCCCTCCCCAGGCCCAAGTGCCCCTCCCTGATCTCAGAGCCCAGGACCTGAGCCTGAGCGCTTATGGCTCTGAGACGATCCTGGGAGGCCCCCCCAACTGGACTCTCCCACCCCAGTCCATCTGGGCACCTGGGTCACGCACTGCTGTCCTTTATCAGCTGGCAGGGACAGGTACACACACTGTACAAGTCAAGGCTATCTCGGCAGAAGTGACAGGAACCAGAACTTTCAGCTCTAAAGCAGAAGGCCGCTCTGGGTGCTCAAGGCCAAGCAGACTGATGGCTAAGCCTCTGGCTGCAGTTTATGCCACAGGTGGGAAACATGCCCGCGTCCAGGCCCCCATCTCTGCGCAGGGCAGGGCGGGGTCGTGCCCATGCCCCTCGCAGTCCCTCACCTTACACCCAGGGCACTTCTCCTTCAGCTTCCTGGCCACGCCTGTGATGGTCCCACCCGTGCCCGCCGATGCCACCAGCATGTCCAGCCTCCCTGAGGGTGGAGAAGTGTGTCAGGGAGGACATCCCCAGGAGGGAGTGGCCGTGCCCCCCCAACTCTTCATAGGAATCAAGAACGCTCTCGAACATGACAAAGGCAGGTCATCCAAAGGGCAAAAGCAGACCTGTTCTCAGGTTGAAACCTCTCATCACATCCTCCACCTTGTAAGCATTCACCATAACGGGGACCCAGGAAGTCCCATTTAATCTAAACAGCAGCCAGTCGCTAAAACCCCCCGGAGTTGTGAATCCGTGAGCAGGGGACCTTCCTGCAGGAGCTGGGGCACAGGGGGCTGTCTGGTTTCAGATGACGTGGGTAAGTGAACTGAATTATCAACGGAACTAGAATTAACCGCTCAGCTCAGCTCTGACATTGTCTGGGCTCTCTCGGCACCTGGCGGCCAGCTCAGGCACCCAGCAGGCAAGTCAGCGCGGGAACCCGTGCTGAGGCAGACCCAGTGTTTTTGCCAAATGAGAGGATTCTCACATGTAAAACCTGGGTGAGCAAATGCCTGGACCATGCTGCCTGGCTCCTGGGCACAGCATGAGGGCCCTTAAGCCAACACCAGGCTCCAAACAGGAAGCCAAAGGTGCCAAACCCCTGGCAGCCGCTCCCAGGACTCTCTCAGGAAACAGCCCTTAGAGAACATTGCAGCCCCCATGGGGCTTGGCACCAAGTGTGCAGAGAGCTTTCAAAAAGCCAAGCCGCAAGGCGCCACCCCAGGTCTGCACACAAGAAAACCCGAACGCTGAATTCAGTGCTCACACTGGTGTTTGGGGTCAGTGCTGTTCAGCATGTGAAGGCCCTACTGTGAGCCTAGCACTTGTTCCCTGCACTCAGGAGCTCCTACAGGTCTGGAGGAAAGACTACCAGGTAAACAGATATGACTGCATGATAAGTTGGGTGTTGTAGGCGAGGCACGTGCAGAGTCCAAGAGGGCAGAATGGAGGGTGGAAACTGCTTCTGGGAAATATTCCGGATGGCATTTCACAGAGAAGGGATATTTGAACTGGGTTTTGAAGGATGAATAGGAGTTTACCAAGGAGCGGGTAAGTGTACACTCCCAGTCAAAATGGACAGCAGAGTTAGAGGTACCCACCGTCACACTGCTGCAGTATCTCCTCGGCCGTGATGTCATAGTGAGCGAGGGGGTTGCTGGCGTTGCGGTACTGCCAGGAGAGAGCAAAGGAGCCATGATGAGGTCAATGCACAGACCTGGCAGCAGCCACAGGGTACCAGGCAAATGACTCAGTGCCAGCCAGAGAGGATCCCGTGGCTCAACAGACACCAAGCATCAAAACCAGCTCTCCAGAAGATGAGACTGCTGAACTAAGCCAGAAGTGGGATGAATGACAAAGAAGAGCGTCCAGTTAAAAGCTCTGCATGCATTTCATGTCTTAGAGAGCTCCCAGGGTCCTTTGCAAGGGGCATTCCAACCCAGCATGCTGAGCTGAGCCCTTGAAGGCGGCACACGGGCAGCAGAGCCAAAGGCTCGCTGACCCCATCGGCCACACACTGGGCCTGGAGAGGGCAGGAACTGCATGCCAGCACATCAGTCACTCCCCGCCCCTCCTCCTGCAGAGGCGACACCACCCGCAAGCCCCAGAGATCCCCCAGGGAAGGCCCCACTCGGTCCAAACCTCTGGGAGCATGCTCACCCCCTGGGCCCGACCTCACCTGGTCCAGGATGTGAGAATTGGGGATCTCATTTCTTAGCCTCCAGGCCACCCCTACGTGCGACTCGGGGGAGTCGAATCTGGCGTTGGTGGGCGTCCTCACGATCTCAGCCCCCAGGGCCCGCAGGACATCCACCTGCAGAGGCACGTGGCGGCCTTCACTTCCGAGCCAGGCCTGCAGCGCGGGGACAGAGGCCCGGGAGCCGCCCCATCCTCCACCCACCTGCTTACCTTCTCCGTGCTCATTTTCTCTGGCATCACGATGATGCAGCGATAGCCCTTCACGGCGGCGGCCAGGGCCAGCCCGATCCCTGGGGACAGGACATGGGGTGAGAGGGGCCATGGCACCCTCCAGGCCCCACCGCCAGCCCCAAAGGCCCAGAGGAGAGGGCGCTGGACAAAGGCCCTCCATCACCCCCTTCTGCCCTCAAATGAGGGGAGAAAATGGGGTGCACGTCATGACCCCCAATTCCTCCAGCTCTTACTGGGAGCTGGGGAGGTGATGATAACAGTGGCTAAGACTCTAAGCTGCCAATGAAGGGCGCCTGGGTTTGATTCCTGGTCAGGAAACTAGATCCCACATGCTGCAAGTAAGATCCACATGCCACAGTTAAGACCCGGCACAGCCAAATGAGTAAGTAAATATTTCAAAAAGCAACAGCAGCAGACATTGTGGGGCTCACTGAGGACCCAGGGGCTGCTGCGCCGGAAGGGAGAGTGACCCTGAATGCAGCCAGAGGGGAGCACTGCCCCTCCCACCCCCACCTCGGGCCGGGAGGAGGAGGCAGCACCCACCTGTGTTCCCTGATGTCGGCTCAATGATCGTGTCCCCAGGCTTTAGGGTCCCCTCACGCTCGGCGTCCTCAATCATCCGCAGGCTGATACGGTCCTTCACGCTCCCACCCGCGTTGAAGAACTCGCACTTGGCCACTGGGAGCCAGAGACACATCACGAGAAAAAGAGGCCCTGAGCCCTAACTGATGCTTGCCATCCCCTTCCCATCATCCGATACGCCCGGGATGCAGCGGCAGGCTTCAGGGGTTCTGAAAATCGTCACCTTCCACTGCGCCTCCCACACCTGACCTGGATGAAAGTGCTCACCCACTGTGGCTTCTCTTAGTTGTCTATCCCACCCTCCATGGACAATGTGGCGACTCCAGGTGAATGAGACAGAGGCGCTAAGAGGGCGCCCCACTGGATGGACGGAGCAGAGCCACCCCTGTGGGCAGCACAGTTCCAAAGAGACATGCCGGGCATGCGCGGGGGCGGGGCGGGGGGTGGTGGTGACTGGAGCTCAGGAATGCTGCGGGTGGTGACTGGAGCCCCAGGCTTAAATCGGGCCCAGTGGCCCTGCCAAATGACCTCATATCCTGAAGTAACAGCCCCCCATCACACGGCCAGACCACAATCGGCAGACCCTCTGCACCCCAGTCCCCTGGGCCTCCTGGCCCAGTGGGGCTCGCTGCCATTTTCAGCATCCTGCAGACAGGACCGCCCTTGCTGTGCCCAAGCCTCTGCTTGTCTTTCCGAGGGGCACTCCCTCCCACCTCTTAAAACTAGGCCGTGTCAGTAAAAGGGGCGATGTGGCTCCAAATGTGACTGGCAGGGCCCAGGACGGCCTGGAGGGCCCATAGATCTTGCTCCGCCCTGGTCTGTGCTGGCTTCTGAAATCCCACAACCAGAGACAGGCTTTCTCCCCAGGGACTCAGAGAGGCCCGGCTGGGACAGTGAAGGGGGGGCTCTCAAGTGTCTGACCTCGAGGAGGCCTGCACCCTGGACTCTTTGCGGCCACACAATTGAATTAGTTAGAAAATTCTAACGAGCCCATGGAAAGGCTGGCAGGAAGGCAGGGATTCCAGCTGATCGGCCATGGGCAAGGCACGTAACCAGTCTGAGCCTCGGTTTTTCCATCTGTAAAATGGACACACTAGAGTCTGTTTCAAGGGCTCCTGCTGAGCTGAGGTGCAGCAGGCCCATGCCTCCAGGGTACTAGGTGATGGCTTCTATTATCTGACATGAGAGCACAGATTCCACTGTGGCACAGCCCCAGCAGCGACCCTCCAAACCCGGTGGTGTGTTCTGTTCACTGCACTGGAGGAAACTCTTCACTGCCTGGGGAGGGGATGCAGGGGTGGGTGGAGGCAGGAAGGCTCTAATGATGATGCCTCTGGGGTGAATCGACCACAGGGCCTCGGTCCCTCTAGGGGGCACCAAGCCCCTAGACCCCTACACTCTCCCCTCCCCAGCTCTCTGCTCCAGCACTGGGCCTAGTCCCCTGTCCCTCCAACCAGGACCTCTGCACCTGCCACTTCCTCTGGGTCAAGGCTGACGTCTACCTGGGCTCCGGGCACCTTCCCCTGGTCCTGGAGATAAACTCCTGCAAAGACGCCCCCTCCCCACAGGACTTTGAGGAGACTCAAGGGTGATCCCCTTGTGTATGGGGCCCAGGCAAACACAGCCCCCGAATTCCCACTGCATCTCATGAGTGACAAGTGTGTCTGTCTAAGCCCCAAGGCAGCCACTTCCTGCCGGGCTGACGGCTGAGACCCTCCTCACTGTCATGTCAGCCCGTCCAAGCCACAGCATGTCTGCTCCTCCCTGGGATAGGACAGAAGGGTCCCGCTCTGCTCCTGGGGTTGGGCCTCCTCCTCCTGCAGCTGCCGGGTTACATCACCCGCATTCCCTGCTCGGGTACCACCCCGACGTCTGCCTGGACACGCTGCTCTCCACACTCAGGTCTCGGCTCTCTGACACCGACGGCTCCGGAGCGGCCTTGGTCACCCCCCAGCACCCCTCCCTGTCGTGTACGCTTCTGACCTTACCCGATGTGCAGGGAACCCGCCCAGGGTCTGAGGGGCCCACACACCCCCCAGGCCCACAAGCCTCGCACAGGGCGAGGAAGCCCGCACTCACAGAGCTCACACTTGAGGCCGAAGTTCCTCCCGATCTTGTTGATCCTCACCATCGGGGTATCCCCGATTTTCTTCAGGATATCCGGCAAGATTTTTGGAGATTTTGCCCTTAAACAGAGGAGGAGTCCGTGATTACTCAGAAAAAAACAAAACCGGCTTTGGCAGCCCAGCACATTCTTTTAAATAAATCAACGAACTGGCTTTCACAAGCATCAGGATGGCGATCACACAAATCCACACTTGGTAAAAGGTGTGCGCATGCACACACACACACACACATATACACATGGGCAAGTGCACCTCAAAACTCATGAAAACGAATGTGATTTAGTAACAGCTGCACCGGTGTCTCCAGGGTTTGAAAACGCTCTGCGGTAACAGACAGTATCAGTGGGCTGCTGGGTCAATGTCCCCACGATCTCTCTGTGCTATTTCTGCAACTTCTTTTGAGTGTTAAATTATTTCCAAATAAAATAGTTAATAAACACTGGCTTCAAAACAACAGCGGCTCAGGCTGTAAAGAAATTGCCTGCCATGCCGGAGACCCGGGTTCAATCTCTGGGTCAGGAAGATCCCCTGGAGAAGGGAATGGCAACCCATTCCAGTATCCTTGCCTGGAGAATTCTCTGGACAGAGGAGCCTGGCAGGCTATAGTCCATGGGGTCGCAGAGAGTCAGACATGACCAAGTGACCAACGCTTTCACTTTTCAAAACAACAGCATGTCCTGGTCTATCTTTTCCAGGGTTCTGTTGTTCATTTTTCTGGCTGCACCACATGGTATGTGGGATCCTAGTTTCCCAACCAGGGATAGAACCTGCGCCCCTATACTGGGAGTGTGGGGTCTCAGACACTGGACCACCAGGGAAGCCCCAGGCTTTTTAGGGTTTTTGATATTCATCTCCTCTCATAGCTCCTGCCTCCTGGAATACCTCCTTTCCTTCTCTTTGATGAAAAAACTGGTGGGGACCCGAGGGCAGGGACACCTCAGAGGGTCTGGCCACCAGACAGGTACAGCGACTGCAGAGCCCACCCAGGCATCAGTCGGGCGTCTGGCACAGGTGGTGGGAAGCCCGACTCGCAGGCCGAAGAACAAAGGCTGGTGACCCCTGTGCTTGGGGCCAGGGTCAGATGACTCCCGGGTGGGCTTCCAGGCTCAGAGTGCGATTCGCTTCTCATGGGTCAACGGTCCCCCTTCAATGTGAGTGACCACCCCCTGCAGCAGTTCTTCCAGCTGAGAAGCTGGTGACAGGTGACAGAGAGTGTGGAACAGCCCAGCAGCTGCTCAGCTGTGTACACACCTTGAACCTGCATCTCCCAAGTGGCCCCCGTGATGCACCCTCCATCTTCACCCTGGAGGAGAGATTCAGGTCCCACACTCTTGCCCTGTCCACGCCAAGGAGGTGCCACCAAATATTCTTCCCAGAATATGCAAAACTGAGCCGAGTTCCAAGAAACACAAAGGCTTCCTACTCCCTGGATCTCTCCTGCACCATCCCCATGGCACCTACAACTGAAGGCACTCCGGCCCCCACGGCCGGAACCCGTTATCCGTGTGAATTCCTCACCCGCCCCCAAGGTGGTGAGCCAGCTCCCCAGGAATGCTGCCATCCGCCCCCAGCCCAGACAGGCGGCAACATGGCCCGGCTGGAACCCTTGCATCTTCCAAGGTGGCAAGGAGCTAAAACAGACGCCCTGGGCCGCCCAGGAGGCAGGCTCAGCCAACAGAGGTGCGGGCATCGGGGTGAGGGGAGAGAGCCTTGGCAGGGACAAAGGGCTCCTGACCCCAGCCTTGGAGGGAGACCAAGTCCTAGGCGCAACCCTGGGGTTGACTCATTAACTAGTTAAAGCCAAGGCAGGAGAAGTAAACACCTGGGGAGGGCAGGAGGGGTAGCTGAGTCATCCACCCCCAGCAGAGGCTGATGGGCTAGAAGGAGCGGGAGGCCTGGCCTGCCTGTAACACCCCCCAGACCCTACCCCTGCCCGCAGCAGGGGCTGATGGACTAGAAGGAGCGGGAGGCCTGGCCTGCCTGTAACACATCCCCACCCTACCCCTGCCCGCAGCAGGGGCTGATGGGCAAGCGGAGAACTCAGGGTTCCCGACTCAGCACCAGGCCCTGGGGGCCAGAAAGTCACGGGAGAAGTTGGCCTGAGGTGACCAGGGCAGGAGCCTGGGGGGAGGCTTTTAACACCTCATCTCAGTTGCTTTCCCTTCTTCCTGGAGGAGAGCCCACAGCACCCTGGAACAAACCTGACACCCCTCACCAGGGAGGGGCCTGCTTCCCCCTTCCCCTCTGCAGCTCTTCCCCCGGCCCAGTGCTCCCACTCTGCTCCTCTTTCTAAGTCTACCTGACCTGGGAACCATCCCAGACACCCACATGGCTAGCATCTCCTGCCCATCCAGGTACCAGCTCCGAAGTCTCCCCGAGTCGCCCAGCCACGCCACCCGGTGGCCACGCCACCGTCTCATCACCCCTTTGCTCTCCCCACCAGGACCCCCAGGCTGTCTCCTCCAGGGACCCAGGTCTAGAGTCCCACAGTAGGTGAGCCCTAGTGCCTCAGGCCCGAGCCCAGCTCCTCATAACAGTGAACCTGAGCTGTATCAAGCAGTTTGCGGGGGGAGAGCAACCCCGCCAGGGCACTGGAGGAGCGTCAGGCCACCGCGTGGAGTGCGGGTGTGGTGCCAGGTTACAGGCTGGGTACAGCGGTGTCCAGGCCCGGGTGAGATGCTCACGGAGCCGTGAGCCCTTCGTGGCCCTTCACCTCCTGCCCTGGTTTGCTTTGACAGCGAGGGCTTGTGACGTATGGCCAGCAGCCATCTTGGCCTCCTGAGCTCCCAGCATCGAGACATGTTTAATGTTGGGAGTTTCTGGGTTTGTACATGTCATTTCTGTCCATTGATCCCACTTCGGAGCACACCCCCTGCACATCCCCAGTTCTGAATCTAAAATCAATAATCATCAGTGTTGGCATAGCAGTGTATAAGGAGTAAGAACCAAGCACCTAAAAGGTACATTCTTATGACACTTTTGTTCTACTGTTGGGAGGTTACACCAGAGAAATAAAGATGATCCTAAAATGTAGTGGACTTGATTTGAGTTTCACAATAGGTCAGGGATTTTTGCCTTTTTTGTCTTTCCCACTAACTGATCTCCTGCACCTAGAACAGAGCACAGATATAGGAGGTGCCTAATTAAGACGCATGCACTAAAAGAACTCTATTTTCCACTGCAGTTCTTCAAACCGAGATCACTGCAGACAGTGAATGCCTGAGAGCACTTAAAATCATGGTTTATTCATCCAACAGTCTCAGTCCAACCACAAAAACCCCATTACAGAAAAATATTTCATTACCTGGAGTTAAGTAGAGAAGGCAGACATGGCCCTAATTACAGGAATGTGCAGTCAGATGGACCTGGATTAGAAACCTCACTCCCTCCTGTCACTCAGAGTGTGTGACTTGGGCTCATCCCTTAATTTATTGAGGATCTGCTCTGGGGCTGAGGGGGGCGGGGGGCACCCACCTAGGTGCTAGCATGTGGGCATACTCAGCCACTCAGCCATGTCCAACTCTTTGCAACCCCATGGACTGCAGCCTGCCAGGCTCCTCTGCTCATGGAATTTCCCAGGCAAGAATACTGGAATGGGTTGCCGTTTCCTCCTCCAAGGGATCTTCCTGACCCAGGGGTCGAACCCGAGTCTCCTGCATTGGCAGGCAGTTTTTGGTTTTTTTCATCACTGAGCCATCAGGGAAGCCCACAGACATCCTTAGCATTGCAAGTGGATTCTTCATCACCCTAGAAGCCCCACCTAGGTGCTGGGCTACAGCACAAACAAGCCTTGGCCTCTCTGAGCCTTGGGGGACTCAGCTATGAAATACCTCCCACCTCAACTCACCATCCAGCTAGAGTAACAGCAAAGGATGGAGCGGGATGGGCGCGGGGGGTCATACCCCATGTCCACAAGACCATCTGGCTTCCAGGAAACAGACCCTCCTCCCCAGGGTAACAGATGGACCATCTTATGATCATTAGCAGGACTCACAAGGCATCGTGGCAATGTGGGGAGTCGGTGACCGGCCTGCCCAGTTGCCAGGAACACCTGCTTGGGGCATCAGGACGGATCCACAGCAGCTCCTTGGCTTCCTTGTCCTCGGGAGGCTCCTTCTCCAGGCTTCCTCTCCCCAAGTGTGCCCCTGAGAGGTGGGGGCACCCTGCAGACCTTCGGAGGGTGTCTGTGGGGGGTGTCTCAGAAGGCATGGTGGGACCTGCCAAAGGGAAGGGGGAGGAGAAGCTGTCAGTTCAGCCTGTTTCCAGATTCCTGAAGAAGAGGTTGCTTTACAGCTCTCATCTGGGGACTCCTGCTCACCCGGCCTCCTCTTGAGTGTGGGGTTCCTCTCACTCAAGAAGCTGGACAAGGAGAGGCTTAACTATGCAGGTACCAGCTGCTGTGGAAAACAACTAGGCACTTTCCCAAAAGGCTAAACGTACAGCTACTGTGTGCTGCAGCTATTCCATTCCTACACACCTACCCAAAAACATGGAAACAGATATTTGTCCACCACATTCATAACAGCACTATTCTCAATAGCAAAAACATGCAAACAAACCAAATGTCCCTCAGTGGATGAATGGATAAACAAAATGTGGCTTATCCACACAGTGGAATTGTATTTGGTCACAAGAATGGAATGAAGTTTTAACTCTCAACATATGAACACACACACACAGCAGCTATGTAGAGGTAATGAATGTTATTTATCTTATAGGTTGATTGTGGTGTCTTTTCACAATGTATATGTAAATCAAAACATCAAGTTGTATACCTTAAATATACATACAACTTTTATACATCAAGGATATCTCAACAATGTTGTGTTAAAAAGACTACACTTAATGACGAAAATAATTAGAGGAAGATGAAGATAATAATAAATATATTTTTACCCTAAAAAAAGGAAACATTCTGCTGAGTCCAGTAAATCAGACAAAGAAGAAACATTGCATGACTCCACCTGTATGAGGTGCTCAGAACAGACAGAATCAGAGACAGTGAGAACAGAGCTTTCCAGGAGCTGGGGAAAGGAGTCACTGTTTAATGGGCAGAGTTACCATGAAAAAAGTATGGGGTACAGATAACAGTGATGACTGCACAACACTGTGAATGGAAGTAGTGTTACCAAATTGTACAGTTATGAATGGTTAAAATAAACAACATATTACATGTATTTTATAAAATTTTTATAATCTCATGGAACCTTAAAACAGATGACCAAAGAAAGGAAAAAGAAAGGAAAGAAAGAAAGGGGAATGGACAGCCATCACCCATCAGGCTGACGACTGAAAACTTACCACGGCTCCAACTCTGTAAGGAGCAGTGAAGACTAAATGGAATGAGGTCTCCAGAAGGGAATCCCAGAACAGAAAAGGGTACTAGGGGAAACTAAGGAACTCTGAGTAAGTATGGACTTTAATTAACAGTAATGTTCATTGATTGCAAAAAAAACCTAAGATGGTAATAAGAGGAGGAACTGTGCCTATGTGTGTGAGGTGGTGGGGGCGGCGGGGAGGGGGGTGTTGGGTTGTGAGAACTCTGTTCTATTCCCAACTTTTTTATAAATCTAAAGTTCCCCTTCCCCAACGTACCTGGAGCCCTGGGGGTTTGGAAGGTCCCTGAGAGGAGCTCAAGGTAGGGATGTGGCTCTAGGTGATCTCTGAATGGAGCCCCACTCCCGCCCTCCTCCTAGAAGCTAGAGGGACCCCAGACCCCAGCCCTGTGCCTCTGCTCCCCAGGAGGCTTAGGAAGGCAGGTATGCTGTGAAGAGGTCGGGTAGTCCAGGCAGAACTGGGCCCCACGCTTGGAAGTAAACATGGAGGGTAACAGACCAGCTGGCTCTCTCCTCCGAAGCAGGTCCTGTGGGTGCCGCTGCCATCAGCAAGGGTAGAGGCAGCCCCAGCTGGTTGTCTGTCTCCCAGGGCTGAGTCAGGTGCAGACCAGCGCCCAGCAAACAGGTCGCCCCAGATGCCCAGGTCGAAGTCTAGGGAGGCGGAGACCCCCACCCTTTGCAATCACATCCATTTCAAACCCCCGAGGCCCTTTCAAAATTTCCCCTGGCTTTCCCAGGCAGAAATCAGTCTTCCAGCTCGTCTGCGCGAAACGTGCCTGAAGCAGTGGTTCCTTCAAACCCTGGGATCAGCAAATATTTTTTCAGGGGTTTAGGTCCCCTCATGAAACCCTGCAAGTATATCCTACGCCATTCTTGCTTCTTATCAAAAAACCCCTGAGGTAAGCGGGACACTGCCCTGGCTCCACGGGGCGCCCGCCGGGCGGGGGGAGGTGGTTCTTCCATCACCAGAAGCGCCCCTATCGTAGACCTCTCTCCCCATCAGAGGCCCACAGGCCGGCAGCCCCAGGCTGTGGCCAGTCCCCCGCAGACGCAGGCAGCCCCGCGCCTCCTAGGTGGCGACCTACCTCGCCTCGAGCAACCTCTGGAAAGGTAAGGAGCTACTGGGAACTCAGACCGGAGCCGACAGTCTCTACAGAACCCACAGGCACTCGGCGCGACGCTCGCTGGGCGACTGGGTCCCGAACCCGCGAACTCGGTCCCGCCCAGCCTGGCTCGGCTCCAGGTGGGCCCAGTTCCACGTAGGCACAGCGCCCAGCGCGCCGACGCACGTGCGTCCAGGGCAGGCGGGCTCACTTAGCGCCGCCCCGCGGGCTCCTGCGGCACCTCAAACCGCAAGACCCTCCTGGGGTCACGACCCCCGACAGCACCCGCACCCCGCCCCCCCGCCCCCCCACCCCCCGCACCGTGCACACGCGCTCCAGTCGGTCCAGGGGTCCAGTCAGGGCCAAGGGCGCGAAAAGTAGTAAATTCCTGTTTCCTAGTGAGACTTTCCAGGCGGGAAATCGAGCCTCTCCGTGGACCTGGAGACCGCGGGTCACCAGCCTATCGGAGGGGCATTTGGGGACACCGTGTGGGATAAACACCCCCAAGTAACCCTTGGGAGGCTACGTTTTGCGCTCCCGCCCCGTCCCCTCCACTTCCCCTCCCTACTGTCGCTCAGCCACCCACCCCGCCTAGGGCTCAAAGTATGGGGTCGAATGGCACCCTCCCCCATTCCCTTGGTTTGTGCCGGGGGCGGGGCCCTGCGTGCCCTGCACTCCCTCGCCACCCTACCCCCGCCCGGGGGCAGCCAGCGCTCGTGCGGCGCGCGCAACCACATCAATATTTTACACACACACACCCCAGTTCATAGAATAGACGGAAAAGAGCAATTTACGAAAAGACCATTTTTCATCCAAAAAGCAGCAAAAAATCAATGATGGAACGCACCATTAGAGCGCACCTTTCAAAAGTTCCCTCCCCAGGTCTCGGCTCCACGCTCCTCGGCTCTCGGCCCCCGCCGTCCCCTGGTCAGCCTCGGGAGCTGGAGCGGAGGCCCTACGCCACGTGGGCGCGGAAACCCCTGCTTCAGGAGCGTCTGGACTCGCGCTAGGAGTGGGTCTGGGACGCCCCAGGCGCGGCCCCGGCTCGGCGGCGAGCAGATGAAGATGATGCAACACTGGCCCGGGGTTGGGCGGCGGGGACCCCCTTCCGAGAACCCAGCCAGATCCTTCCGCCTATGGGTGAGGCGAGTCTCGGTCCTACAGGTGCTCACCTGGACCGAGACCCGGAGAGAGAGGAGGGCTGGGCGCGTCCGGGAGCGGCGAGCGGCGGCCGAGAAAGCTGCGACTCAGAGACGCGACCCCACTGCAGGCTGGCTACCCGCACCCGGCGGCCAGAGTGAGAGGAAGGCGATTGGCCGAGAGCAGGGGGGCGGGGGACGGCACCCGGCCAATCCCGAGTTGCAGATCGAGGCCCCTCCCCTCCCCTCGCCCGTACCCGCCCCGTCGCCACGCCCCCGGCGCACCGCCCCCCTCCCTCCCCCACGGCCTCACCCCCACTGCCCCACCCCGAACTCTGGTTAGACTCCACGAGGGGCAGGTGGCCAGTGTCTTCTCCTCTCCCCTCGCTCCCGGGACCCCCTCCCGCCCCGCCACCCCTTCCCTTCCCGCGCTTCTCTACCCCGAGACCCCAACCTGAGCGAAGGCTCTGTACCCAGTGTCCCGATTCTGTTTTACTTGGGTAACTCCTTGCTCTGCGGGAATGTAATATTTTTTGTTGAGTTGCATACAGGCCTGCGATCTGGAGAGAGGAAGGACTTGAGGATGAGCCTCAGCACGTATCACGCGGGCCCCAGTCCGCGACCACCCAAGGTTCTTTCTGGTCTCGGGACCCCAAGGGGCCGAAAGTCGGGGGCCCAGCGTGCGGACAGTAGGCGCTCTGCACCCGGGCTTCGGATCCATCATCGCGGGTTTGTCCTGCCCCTCATGGTCCAAGGGTCCGGCACATACAGCGCTTCGCCGGCCGAGCCCCGCTGTGTACCGAGCCCAGTGACCGCTCCCATCAGGGAGGAACCTGAGCGCTCATGGACATGGCATAAGCCACAAAGCCGTTGTGAACCGGGCTGCTGGCAGGCTGTCCCCAGCCCCGGGAGCCAATGGCTGACCGCCAGGATGGCCCTGGCCGTTGGGAAGGCCACCGCTAACAATAGTGTTCCAAACTGGTTACTCTCAGTTTTTAAAGAGCCTGCGTTTCTCTTGAGGTTCCTGAGCTGAATGGAGAAACACTGACCCTTGAATTTCTCCTGCATGGTAGTGACTAAGTCAGGGGCGGAGCCGCCAGGTTTGGGCAGAGGATGGAGTTACTGCGCCCAGTGCCCAACTGTTTACTGTCCGGCCACGTGCCAGCTTTGCACCCGGGCCTGCGCGGGGAAACAGAGGGAGTGCAGACGGGGCCTCTGCGCCTGCGCAGTTGCTGTTCTAGGGGAGCAGGCTCCACAGACATCTTTTTGTAAGAAACGTCCACTAATGAGACTGATAGGAAGAATGACAAAGTGAGAGAGAGAAATGGAGAGAGACAGGAATGGGAGTCCCAGATCAGGTGGTCAGCAGGCTCTCTGGACAGGTGACCCTTGAGCAGGGAGCTTAAGAACCACACCTTGTTCCGGGGACGGATGTCCCTGGCTCAAGTCGATCAGTGCAAAGGCCAGAAGCAGGGGATCCAGAGAAGGTCAGTGCCGCCAGAGAAGGAACAGGAGCGCCCAGAGGGTGAGAGGGGTGGCTGGGTCCAGACCTGGGTTCTGACTTCAGCCTCGATGACCTGGGGTACTTGAGAGGGTTTCCAGTGGGGAGATTTTGATTATGCTCAAATTATTTTCTCTTGGCATAATTTCAGATCACCACAAAAGTGGCAAGAATAGTGTGAGAATTCCCAGATTTTCAGATTCCCAGATGTTAAACTTTTACTAACAGAGTTTGAGGTACCTGGAAATGGGGTCTTTGAGGATGTGATTAACTCAAGGTGAGGTCATACTGGACAAAGAAGGGAGTTCTAAATCCAATATGACTGATGTCCTCATAAGAGGGAAATGTGGCCACAGACTCACGGAGGGGAGACAGAGGCCCAGGCTGGAGTCATCTGGGCACAAGACAAGAACATGGGCAACTAGCAGGAGCTGAAAGAGACAGGGGGACCCTCTGCCAGAGCCCTCAGAGGGAGTGAGTCCTCCAGGATTGTGAGAGGCAGTAAGTTTGTGTTGTTTTAAAATGCAAGCGTTAAAATTTAAAAAGATTTTTGGATATCATTTTATTTGGTCACACTGCACGGCTTGTAGGATCTTAGTTCCGAACCCAGAGATTGAACCTGAGCCCTCAATAGCATTAAGTGCCGAGTCTGAACAACTGGACCATCAGGGAAGTCCTCAACATAATTTTAGACTCTCAGAAAAATGGCAAAATAGTACAAAGAATTTCCAGATGCCCTTCATCCAGATTTTCCAAATGTTAAATTTGTATTACATTTGCTTTACACTTCTCTCTGTATGTATATCTCTCTCTTAGAGTCTTACACATTTTCAAATGGTATTCATTGCCATTTTGTAGACAACATCCTGTATTTCTTGATTTATGAACTTTAGACCATATCTATTGTAACAATAAAAATAAATGCTCTTTCCCACCACAATGAGAAGCCTGCACATTGCAACTAGAGAAAGCCTGCAAGCAGCAATGAAGACCCAGCACAGCTAAAAAAAAAAAAAAAAAGCTCTTTCTTATGCTGACAACTTTTTATATTTGCAACAGTTTTATTTTTAAAATTTATTGATTTGGCTGTGCCAGATCTTAGTTGCAGCATGTGGGATCTAATTCCCTGACCAGGGTTGAACCCAGGGCCCCTGCATTGGGAGCCTGGAGTCTTAGCCACTGGACCACCAGGAAATCCCAATAGTATTATTGATACAATTCACATACTCTACAACTCACCTATTTAAAGTGTACAATTCAATGACTTTTAGTATATTCACAGAAAAGCGCAGCCATCACCACAGTCAATTTAAAACGTTCTCATCACCATAGAAACCTTAGTCCCTTAGCTATCACTCCTACACCAAACTTTCCAGACCCTTTCCATACCCTCCAGCCCCTGGCAAACTCTAATCTACTTTCTGTCTCTCTAGATTTGCCTGTTCTGGACATTTCATATAAATGGAATCATATAGCATGTGGTCTCTTGTGACTGGCTTCCTTCACTTACGTTTTTTCAAGGTACATCCATGTTGTTGTATGTATCAGTACTTTTCTTTTCATTGTCCAATAAAATGCTGTTGTATGGCTATCTCATGTTTACTCCTTTGTCAGTTGATGGACATTTATATTGTTTCCACCTTTTGGTTAGTATGATTAATGTTGCTATGAATACTCATGGACACGTTTTCATGTGGACATATGTTTTTATTTCTCTTGGATAGACAGCTAAAAATAGAGTTGCTTGGTCACATGGTAATTCTACGTTTAACCTTTGAGAAACTGCCTGCTTTCCACACAACTGCACCACGTTACACTCCCATCAGCAATGTAGGAGGTTTCCAATTTGTTCACACACTCACCAACACCTGTCATCATTCCTTGTTCTGATCACAGCCATCCTAGGGCGTATGAAGAGGTATCTGGTTGTGGTTTTGATTTGCAATCGCCTGATGACAAGTGACGTGAAGCATGTTTCATGTGCTTGTTGGTCATTTGTATATCTTCTTTGGGAAAATGTCTATTCAGATCGTTTGGCCATTTTTAATTGGGTTGCTTGACATTTTGTGGTTGAGTTGTAATAGCTCTTTTTACATTCTGGATACTGGACCCTTTATCAGATATGTAATTTGCAAATATTTTATCCCATTCTGTGAGGAGTCTTTTCATTTTATTGATAGTGTTTTTGGATGCACAAAAGTGTTCAGTTTTAATTTACCTACTTTTTCTTCTTTTGTGCGTTGCATTTTTGTTGTCATATCTAAGAAACCACTGCCTAAATCCAAGGTCATGAAGATCCACTGTGTTGTCTTTGATGAATTTTATGGGTTTAATTATAATGTTCAGATTTTTATCTACTTTGAGTTAATTTTCAAATTATGAATTAATTTATTTATAAATGTGCTGGCTCTTCGTTGCTGTGCAGACTTTTCTCTAGTTGCCACAAGCAGTTGCCACAATCACCATCTGCAGTGATTTTGGAGCCCCCAAAAATAAAGTCAGCACTGTTTCCACTCTTTCCCCATCTATTTCCCATGAAGTGATGGGACCAGATGCCATGATCTTAGTTTTCTGAATGTTGAGCTTTAAGCCAACTTTTTCACTCTCCTCTTNGAGCGACTTCACTTTCACTTTTCACTTTCATGCATTGGAGAAGGAAATGGCAACCCACTCCAATGTTCTTGCTTGGAGAATCCCAGGAACAGGGGAGCCTGGTGGGCTGCCGTCTATGGGGTCGCATAGAGTCAGACACGACTGAAGCGATTTAGCAGCAGCAGCAGCAGCAACCAGTTGTCCCAGCACCATTTGTCAAAGAGACTATTTTATCCCCATTGACTGGTCTTGATGCTCTTGTCAAAAGCAATTGACCATAGATGTTAGGGTTTACTTATGGACCAGTAGTTCTGTTTTGAAGAACTGACTCACTGGAAAAGACCCTGATGCTGGGAAAGATGGAAGACAGGGAGAGAAGGGGACGACAGAGGACGAAATGGTCGGATGACATCACCAACTCGATGGACATGAATTTGAGCAAGCTCTGGGAGTTGATGATGGACAGGAAAGCCTGACGTGCTGCAGTCCCATGGGCTTGCAAAGAGTCAGACACGACTGAGCGACTGAACTGAACTGAATTCTATTTCATTGATCTGTACATCTATCCTGGTGAGAATATGGTTCAGAACAGGGAGGCCTGGTGTGCTTCAGTCCATGTGGTTGCAAAGAGTTGTACACAACTTAGTGACTGAACAACAACAGCATGCATCTGTCCTTACGCCGAAACCACACCACTTTTATTACTGCAACTTTGTACTAAATTTTGAAATCCGGAAGTGCAGGTCTTCCAGCTTTGTTCTTTTTTGAGATTGTCTTGGCTATTTGGAGCTTCTTTTGTGTGCTTAGTCTCTCAGTCGTGTCCAACTCTTTTTGATCCCATGGACTGTAGCCCTCCAGGCTCCTCTGTCCATGGGGATTCGCCAGGCAAGAATACTGGAGTGGGTTGCCATGCCCTCCTCTAGGAGATCTTCCCAACCCAGGGATCCAACCCAGATCTCTGGCATTGCAGGTGGATTCTTTACCATCTGAGCCACCAGGAAAGCCCAGGGTTCCTTGCGATTCCATAGAATTTTAGGATCAGCTTTTTCATTCATGTAAAGAGGTTATTAGGATGATGAGAGGGACTGATTGGGACCTGTGGATTGGTTTGGGGGAGTACTGCCATCTTAACAATGTTAAACCTTCTAGATGTGTGAACAAAGGATACCTTTCCACTTATTTAGTTGTTTTTTTTTTCTTTTGGTTTCTTTGCAATTTTTTGGTAATTTTCAGTGTACAAGTCTTACATTTACTTGATTAAGTTTCTTCCTAATTCTTTTATTCTTGTGGATTTAGGGAGTCCACATCAAGTCTTCTGAAACACGCTGCCATGGAGAAGAGGAGAAGGAGTGGCAGAGTGTGGGTTTAACTGCTGATATTAATCGCTGCATGTGGGCTTGGGGGCAGATGTCTCCCTCTCCTATCACGTGTGCCCGTGCAGGAGTTTCCCCAGCCCGCCTCCACTGCTTCCTCTGTCCGAGGTAAGGAGGAGCGATGTATCGGACTGGCCAGTTTGGAAGAATATGTGGGAATGTTTGGCCCAGCCAGGGGAAGAAATTAAGTCTTCTGGTCCATGAATATGGGATGTCTACTTATTTAAGTCTACTTTACTTTTCCCCCACAATGTTTTGTCCATTTCAGAGTGTAAGTTTTATACTTAGTAAGTTCTTTTAAAAAATTTTTTTACTTAAAAAATTTTTTATTGGATTACAGTTGGTCTACAATTTTGTGTTAATTTCAGGGGTACAGCAAAGTGAATCAGTGATACGTATACATATGTCCACTCTTTTAGATTCTTTGCCCACATAGGCCTGTACTCAGTAACTTATTACAGCACCTGTCAAGCCCTCACTTTGTAAAGGAAGCCTATTAGGGTTCCTGGTTATTCCTCTGCTCACCTTCCCCACACCACCATGTCCTACCTTGAATTACTAATACCGTTACCACTAATAACAACAGCTTAATCCAGCTTAAGCACATACCTGGCACTGTTCTAGGAACTTGGCCTACAGTAACTAATGGAATCTTCATAACCCTCCTAGGAGGGGAGGCCAGTGACTTGCCCAATGTCTGCAACTAATGGGGAGCAGAGCCAGAGTTTCGCCCAGGCTGTCAGACGCCTGCATCTCTGCTTTTCTTCATCGACTTCCTTGCCTGTTTTGCAGTGGCGGTTGGGATATGTGAGGTTGAACCCCATGAAGCAGCTGATGTTTGACCACTTTTTAAAATTAATTTATTGGGATTTCCCTGGTGGTCCAGTGGCTAAGACTCCGTGTTCCCATGGCAGGGGGCCCTGGGTTTAAACTGTGGTCAGGGAACTGGATCCCACATGCTGTAACTAAGAGTTCATAAGCTGCAAGTAGAGATCTGGTGTGCCCCAGTGAAGCCAAATAAGTATATAAATAAATGCTTACCAATAATTAATTTATCTGTTTTTGGCTGCGCTGGTCTTCGTTGCTGTACTTGGGTTTTCACTAAATGCAGTGAGCGGGGTTACTCTTCATTGTGGCTTGCCAGCTTCTCATTGTGGTGGCTTCTCTTGTTTCAGAGCATGGGCTCTAGAGCACAGGCTCAGTAGTTGTGGCTCATGGGCTTAGTTGCTCCGAAGCCTTTGGAATCTTTCCCGATCCAGGGATCGAACCTGTGTCCCCTACATTGGCAGGTAGATTCTTAACCACTGGACCACCAGGGAAGTCCACCATTTTTAGCCTAAGAAACACAGCAATTTCGTTTGATTCAACTTCTTTAAAAAAAAAAAAAAAAAAGAAGACCTGGGATTTGAGGCAGGTGCTGGAATGTTTGCTCACCAGTACAGGTGGGGATTTTCTGAGCTTAGGGCTCTGCTGTGAAAGGTTTGAACACGCTCCCCAGAGGAAGCAGCAGCTTTGAAAAAGCCAGGCTCACCTGGAGGAACCTTCTGAGCAAAGGACTGAAGTCTGCCTTGAGATGGGGGTGCCGTTTTGGGGGTGAGCTCATTCCAAGTCCAAAGGTGTGTTGAGGTAGGAAGGTCCCCCCGAGAGCCGGGCTCTACATCTGCATGAGTCATCCAGCCTCCGGGAACCTGCCACCGGGGCCGGGCGCAGCTCTGACATTCCTGGGCAGGGCCTGCCACGTCGACTGGCAGGGTTGTGTTTCCAGGCCTGTCCTGCGGCTCCTGGGACCAGTGACAGGAGCAGGGAGGGCAGCCACCTGGTGGCCTCAGGACTGTTTGGTTGAGGAGTCTCCAGTATGTAAGAGGCTGTGGGAAGAAGAGACCTTGAACTTCACTGTCTTTGAACTTTAAAGGAGAAGGAGAATTCAGCTTTGGACGTGCCCTGACTTAGGGGTTTGACATGGGAGGAGCGTTACATTTCCCTGTTCCAGCAGTTTCAGACTGCTGAAACTCATTTGGTCTCCTGCCCAGCTGCTGGGGAGCCTCCCTGGACGGTAGGACTAAGCCGCAGGGGAGAGAGATGGAGGGGGAGTGAGGTTTCAGCCTTGACCTCAGGGCAGCCCTTGAGTTGATTACCACACTGTTCTTACCTGTTCAGACTTTCTTGGGACAGAGTCAGCCATCCAACAGGAAGGCTGGGAATCGGGTACTGGGGACATGGCCTGTGTGTGAGGGCAGGTAGTCTTGAGGGACATTCCCCCTCCAGCCCCCTCTGGACTCCCCTGGCCTCTGTGCAGTGGGCTGGGAGAGAGCACTGGGAATCCTGGGGTGGGGAGTGGCAACCCTTCAGCTCAGCAGCAGCACCCGCCGCCTCTCCCCTCTCCTCCCAAATCCCCTCTTTCTCAGGAAAGGAGAGAGGCGTGTCTGCTCGGAGGATGACCGTAACTTGTCTGTATCTCCTGACTGCAGGACACGGGTCAGTTTAAGAGGGGCAAACCCTGGGGACTGGCTCTTCTGTCTCCCTCCCCTGGCTGGACAGGAGACCCTGGAAATGCACCCGTCTATGTGTGTGTTCACCTCATCTACAGAGGCCCCCTCAGTGTGGCAGGGGAAGGTTGTGGTTATTTCCACATTGAAAGATGCTGGAGCCATGGGCTCTCCATGTAGAAAAACAACCAACCTTACCCCCTACACACAAAGTGATCAGAAAAGAATTCTAGCCCTAAATGTGCAGGGAAGGTAATAAGCTTATGGCAAAGCCAGTGTATCAGTGGGGGCTCAGAAGCACAGATGTCTTAAACAGAACCCAGAAAGCATTGTCCTTAGAAGAAATACTGCTGAATAGGCCTAGTTATGTTTGAAGACGTGTGTTCATCAAAACATGCCATTGGGAGGGAAAAGGAAGCCCTAGACTGGGATAGATGTTTGCAATGCACGTCAGCAAAGGACTCAGACTGGGTAAAGATCTCCTAGAAATACACAGGAAAGAGATAAATTACTAGATTTTAAGATGGGCAGAGACTTGGGCAGGGGCTTCACAGAGATATGCAAATGGCTGGTGGTATGAAAGGTACCAGCCTCATCCATCCTTTGGGGACATGCTGGGTAAAGCCAGGGACCTGCCACTGCAGTTCCAGTGGAAAAGCTGGAAGAAAAAGAGGACTGAGACTGTCTTCCAACCTTCCCCCGCACCCATGCCTGGTCCCACGGTCCCACCTGCCCTCCCCACTTGCCTAGACCACAGCAGCAGCGTCCCTTTTGGTCCCCACCGTCCGCTCTCTAGTCTCTTCTCCAGCCTGCAGTGAGACGTCACTTTAAAAATATAAGTCAGAACGCTTTGTCCTCCCCACGACTCAGAGGAGCTCCAGTCCTACCTACCCAAGCTCACAAGGCCCTGTGTGATGTCCCTCTTTCCCGCCTGCTGGGCCTTGAATGCCCTCTGGAGGGCGCTGACCCGGCATCCCAGGACCCCTTGCCCTCCCTCTGGCGCCCCCGCGTCCCCCAGTCCTGAGAAGCCACGTGACTTGCTTTGACCCATGAAATGTGGAAGTTCATCCATTGCCCTGATTAGAGTTGAAGAACCAGCAAGGGCTTCCCCTCCCTCTGCACTGGCGACTGGCAGGGCTCCATCCAGGCAAGGGCTGCCCCGCCAGCTGTCCCGAGGGAAGACGACAGCGGGGGGAGTCACGGCGGCTGGCTCTCAGTGGACACATGGGGTGAGAGGGGAATGGGCCACGTGTTTCCAAGTATGGGCTGGTGCCAGCCTGTCCTGATCCACGCATGTCCAAGCTCATACCTGCTTCGGGGAACTTGCCCCCACTGCCCGCTCCTCCGCCTCCTCCTGTTCCTCCAGGTGGTCAGCTGTGCCAGAAACACGTGTGAACTACTCGATTCCTTTCTTACCACATTCTTTTTTTGATTTTAAGATGGGCAGAGACTTGGGCAGGGGCTTCACAGAGATATGCAAATGGCTGGTGGTATGAAAGGTACCAGCCTCATCCATCCTTTGGGGACATGCTGGGTAAAGCCAGGGACCTGCCACTGCAGTTCCAGTGGAAAAGCTGGAAGAAAAAGAGGACTGAGACTGTCTTCCAACCTTCCCCCGCACCCATGCCTGGTCCCACGGTCCCACCTGCCCTCCCCACTTGCCTAGACCACAGCAGCAGCGTCCCTTTTGGTCCCCACCGTCCGCTCTCTAGTCTCTTCTCCAGCCTGCAGTGAGACGTCACTTTAAAAATATAAGTCAGAACGCTTTGTCCTCCCCACGACTCAGAGGAGCTCCAGTCCTACCTACCCAAGCTCACAAGGCCCTGTGTGATGTCCCTCTTTCCCGCCTGCTGGGCCTTGAATGCCCTCTGGAGGGCGCTGACCCGGCATCCCAGGACCCCTTGCCCTCCCTCTGGCGCCCCCGCGTCCCCCAGTCCTGAGAAGCCACGTGACTTGCTTTGACCCATGAAATGTGGAAGTTCATCCATTGCCCTGATTAGAGTTGAAGAACCAGCAAGGGCTTCCCCTCCCTCTGCACTGGCGACTGGCAGGGCTCCATCCAGGCAAGGGCTGCCCCGCCAGCTGTCCCGAGGGAAGACGACAGCGGGGGGAGTCACGGCGGCTGGCTCTCAGTGGACACATGGGGTGAGAGGGGAATGGGCCACGTGTTTCCAAGTATGGGCTGGTGCCAGCCTGTCCTGATCCACGCATGTCCAAGCTCATACCTGCTTCGGGGAACTTGCCCCCACTGCCCGCTCCTCCGCCTCCTCCTGTTCCTCCAGGTGGTCAGCTGTGCCAGAAACACGTGTGAACTACTCGATTCCTTTCTTACCACATTCTTTTTTTTAAATTAATTAATTAATTTATTTTAATTGGAGGCTAATTACTTTACAATATTGTGTACAATTACTGTACAATATTGTGATGATTTTTGCCATACATTGACATGAATCAGCCATGGGTGTACATGGGTTCCCCATCCTGAAGCCCCCTCCCACCTCCCTCTGCATCCCATCCCTCAGGAGGGTCATCCCAGTGCACCAGCCCTGAGCACCTTGTCTCATGCATCGAACCTGGACTGGCGATCTGTTTCATGTATGATAATATACATGTTTCAATGCT